AATTCCACTTTGCACCCTTTAAATATACCATTTTGGCATAATGCATCCCAAATGATTTTTAAAACTAGAAAATTTAATTTAATATTTTTAGTGATATTTTTTAAGGATGCCAAATGTCAAATATTATTTTCATTCATCAATCATATTGAAACTATAAAGTTCAAAAATAAAAATACATTTCATCAACATATTTAAAAATTTATTTTTTTATCAAAATTAAATATTTTACGAAAAAAAAAATCATTCAGCTATTCCGTTATCAAGCTATCTGAAAATCATATTTTCTTCCAAATATTTTCACCTAATATTTTCAAACAGTTACATAAAAGATCCATCAATCAAATAATTTAGTGATAAAAGCTTATTTTTTATTTTTTTGTCTAAAAATGTAGGATTTTTAAATAATCCGGTGTAATTTTTATTTTTTTCGCACTTTGTCCGCTCGAAATTAGTTTGGAGGTTCAAGAAAATAACAATTTATTTTTTTTATTTTGCACCTTGAAAAAAAAAACATCGTGAAAAAAAAACATTGTGAACCCCGAAAATAAAAACATTATTTTTATGGAAATTGCCTTTATTATTCACTTCAGGGTGCATTGTGAATGATTTATTGTGTTTTGAGGGTACAAAGTATTATTATTATTTTTCGAGAATGCAAAGTGCCAAAATGGTATATTTCAAGTGTGTAATTAGTGGAACTTTTACATTTTCGGTGGTCCATTTTTTGCTATTGTACATGTCATATATATTTACTAATTTTTAATTTTGCTTATCTTATATTTATTTTAATATCCGTCCGTGCAAAGCACGAGCCAAAATACTAGTTTTTGGCTAAAATCTTGCCTGAGTTGCACACGTGAGATAGCCACGTGAGAATGGAGGGTCAATATCGCCAATTCACAAAATTTTTTAAAAGAAAGAAAATAGAAAAAAAAAAAAAAAAGAAATGGCTGCCATCATCTTCTTCAATTCTTCCTCTTGGCAGCCGAACAGGGGAGGGGAGGTTTTCTCCGGCGAGTAGGAGACAAATGAGAATCTTACACCCAATTCACCGGCGGCCCATTCACCGAAGAGACCCAATTTCGTCCAATTGATAAATCTTGAATCATCATCCCACATGGAAAATTGGGTGTCTAATTTATGAAAGTCTATCAACCCCAATTTCTGCGATTCGATAATCTATTAACACCATGGTGGTGGTGGTGTCTGATTTGTGAAAACCTCTTCTCCCATGTTCGGCTGCCAATGGAGAGAGGAAAACATGATGCAGGCCATTTCTTTTTCTTTTTTCTTTTCTCGTTTTCCATTTTTTTTTTTTTTTTCATTTTTCATTTTTTCTTACTTCTAAAAACTTTGTGGATTGGCAAAATTGACCATCTATCCTCGCTTGTGCAACTCAGGCAATATTTTGTTTTTTAGTTCGTTAAATTTGCTAATTGAGTATTTTAGTCCATCATGTTTCAAAATCAGAATTTTAGTCGTATAAGTCATAAAAGTTGGAAATTTTGATCTTGTGACATGCTATAGCAAGTAATATGATGGTTGTTGAATGAGTTGACATTTAATTTATAAAAATAAATAGATTAAAAATAAATTATGTGATGTGGTTAATGACTTGGATGGTTTTGAAGAGAAAATTGATCCTTGATATAAAGACACCAAAATAATGGGAAATATTTATATATTTATTTTTTGTTATATTTTTGCAATAAATAACCTCAAATTGATTAAAATATACCATTATATTTTTTATGAAAGAAATAAGCATAACTAATGTTTAATTAATATTTCTTAGTTTTTATTTGGTAAAAATAGTAATTAAATTCATATTTATTTAAATATTTCATTTTTTACAAATCTATACTTAGTGATCACAATAAAATTGAACCAACAATCAAATTCAACAAAAAATACGAGAAAAAGACTTTATATTAAAACTTGTTGTAAAGTTAAATGATGTGCACAATCATAATTAGTATAAAAAACCATAACACATTTACGAATTAACAAAAAAAATAATAAAAAACTCCCAAACTAGCAAACTTACAGGACTAAAAAACTCATTTTTCCTTTAGTCAAAAATAGACTTTTAAGTGACCGATGCAACGAATTTGTAAGTCTAGTTATGATTGTGCAATTTTCTTTTTGTTTGAGGGGCAAAATGCAAAATGGGCCAAAGTATGGGGGGGCAAAGTGCAAACCAGACAAAGCCCAAAACGGGCCAAAGTATTAGGGGCAAAGTGCACTTAACCCATATATATATATATATGAGTAAAAAGCAGTTTGCCCCCTACACAAATGCCCGTTTTGCACTTTGCCCCCCAAACAAAAAAAATTTGCACGTTTTTGCCTAAACTTCGGTTTTTGTTGCACGGTGCCTCAAAATTGGAATTTTCCGGCCATTTTGACCGGAATCTTACGCACGTGCTTTTCACGTGAGTTTTAAAGGGACAAAAGAGTCTATTCACTTACATTCTTCATCAATTAAAAAACAAAAAAAAAAAGAAAAAGAAAAAGAAGGAGGAGGAGGTGGGAAAATCTGCAATTAGAGACAGAGAACATGCTCCTCGGAAAATCATCAAACTAGAGACTCTAAAACATGTGAAATCAAAAAGAAATTGATGGGTGGCGAATTTTGTGCAAACAAGAGAGAAGAAGAAAATGCGTGTGTCGGTTTCAGCTTATGGGGAGATGTCATTATCTCTTCCAACAAATCGAAGATGGAATTCGTCTTATACATTTTGTTTGAACTGAATTTGGTAATTTTTTGGAATGAGGATTTTGAGTTCTTTTGACATCCACCACCACCGCCGCCGCCGCCAACAAAAAACCCCAACAATTTCAAATGTTTCCCAAATTCATCACCACCACTCAGGCGCAACAATTCGAACCACCACCTCTTAAACAAAGCCCAATCCACAGCTCCTCCTCTTCACACTCTCCACCCTACCCTCCTCCGCCGCCGCCCGCCGCCATCTCTACAGGATCCCCAGGAGGCACCTCTCTTCATGACCCGATGAACCCTCTTCGGATTCAAATTTATCGTCGTGGCTCACACCCAACGAGTTGAAACTGTTCCTCAAGCTCTTCTACCGATCGACCCTCGCTTCAAGATCGGATCTTATGCTCTTGTTCCCATCAAAAATGGGTTCTTTCGATACCACAATTCAGAGAACGAGTCGTTCTCAAACTCCTGAAGAGAGACAATCAGCGAACGGGGAGACAAAATCGATTATGTGGGTAGAGGGATCTCATCGGCGGCGCCGTGGTTTATCTAGATGAAGAAGAAGCCGGTTCCAAAATGGCCGATTTGAGTGTAGAATGGCTGATCAGCAGCCCTTATTTTTCTTTCTTTCTTTTTTTGGGTTTTTTTTTTTTTTTTTTTTTTTTTTTGGTTTTTTATTTACTAAAGTAAGTGAATAGACTCTTTTGCCCCTTTAAAACTCACGTGAAAAGCACGTGCATAAGATTCCGATCAAAATGACCGGAAAATTCCAATTTTGAGGCACCGTGCAACAAAAACCGAAGTTTAGGTAAGAACGTGCAAATTTTTTTTTGTTTGGGAGGCAAAGTGCAAATCGGACATTTGTTTAGGAGGCAAACTGCTTTTTACTCTATGTATATATATATATTCTGGGTATTTAGTCACATATTTAGTACTCCCTCTGTCCCATCACTACAAGAAATTTTGGTTTTAGTGACGATTTTGTATGGTCGCTAAAAGTTAGAAAATGGTAGCTAAAACTTATTGCGACCAAATTAAGCTTGGTCACCGGTGGTCACAACAGGGTAGTTACTAAAAGTACTCAGTGACAAGAAAATTAATTGGACGCTAAAAGATGAGATTTAGTGGCGAACTAATAGTGGTCACTAAAAATATAATTATTAACGACTAGTTATTGACTCGCTAATGTAAATTTTATGGTGGCAATAATATTAACATGGTTGCTATAGCAACATATATAGTAGCCATATAATTTTGGTCGCTAAATGATATATACGTATAGTGACCATATTTTATTGTTGCTATAGGATATATATTTGGCCACCACATTTTTTGGTTGCTACATAATATACATATAGTGACGGTATATATTGGTTGATAAATAATATATCTGTTGGTTGCTAAAATATATTCATATAGTGACCATATTATTGGTTGCAATAGTTTTTACACGATTGCGGCAATTATTAAATTTACTCACCAATTCAGACCAATAATTAATTGGTTGCATTAATCATTAATGTTTATTTGCAACAGTGGCTGTAAAAAAAAATTTAAAATAAAACTAAAGCTTGCAAATTTACACATTATCAATCAAATGTGAATATTATAATTTCAATCTATCATACTACATACAATAATAAATCAATCATTTAAAATAATAAGAAAGATTACTATACTTATTTCATAATAAATTCCACTTCATAAATTGTTAAGCGACAACAAATATGACTTCCACGATAACGTTCTTTCACTTCATCAAACAGTTCAACCTGAAAAAGGGAAAAAAATCAATTAGAAAATAAGAAATCATATGATAGAATCAATTCCAATCATTTGTCACTTAGTAGCACTCAAAATTCAATAATGTATCTGCGCTCAAAATTTAATAAATAATAGTGAAGAAATAGAGATTCTCACCTGAAGTCCAATGCAAGTGCTATAAAAACACCTTACTTTGGAGTCATGCTCAAGTCTTTAATGAGAGCATAAATATACTCAACACCTATCAAATATTAGAATTAAACAAGTTATCGAATGTTAACATAATCGTTTACTATTCGGTTCTATTTCATATAAACATCCTAACTTAAATCTTATGCCATAACTGACAATCGAACATAATACACAATTTCTATGGCGTTCTATTTACCAAATACAACACACTCCAGGCATCAATTCACATGGTACGGAGTTGACTCGTGTTTGTTTGACGAGTTCTCGAAACAAAGGTTTAAAACATTTGTTTCCACAATTTCTTTGAAAAATCATAACAACTGCATCTACATGTTCACTGAAGACTCTGATCACAAATTATGATCCCAGCATATGCAAAACAGGCCCAAAAGATGATTACAGAAAACTGCCAGAATTTCGGATAAATTCTCTTTTCTGGTACAGTTTATTGTAAAATTCATAAGTATTTGCAAAGTTATCCAAATTGGCCAAACAATATACCAAATCAAAGCTGACAACTTCATCTAAAAGTTTACTTAAGAAATATATCCCAAATTATTATCCTAAGATGGTAATAAAACCCAACGAAGATGATTCATCAAAACTGCCCTGTTTTTGGCAGACTCACTGCCGTCAAATTCTCATCTCTAAAAGGCTATAAAACTTGCTCGAATTAGAAGCAATTTAACACTTACATATAATTATCACGGTCCTCGACGACTTTTGTGAAGAGACTGATTCGAAAATCTCACTCCAAACCCTTCGATTTCGGCTCCGAAAACAGGTGCGGCAGAAGGTTTACTATTTCTCAGAATTTCGCCAACATAGCTGTCGGGTTAAATTTGGTTATATAAATTGAAGAAATAACTAACAAAGTCTTTCTCAAATAACAAAGTCTTCTCACCTCGAGTTAGCACCAAAAGCAACATCATAGACCAAAATTTTCTTAGGTACACAACCACGAATGACACACCTGAAATAAGAATCCATTAGTTTCTTAAGCTTCACCTTCGATCACATTACTTTAAACTTGTTGCTCAATGTACATAAGAAAAATTTCCAATAACTAATAACTCAAACAACTAATGACACATATAGATGCTAACTATGGACATTAAACTAGAAACCAACGTTATTTGTTGTCACATTTTTTTCCAAAAATCGTAGCAGGCCGTACGCTTATCCAAATTGGGAAAACAATATACCAAATAAAAGTTCACAACTTTATCTACAATTGTGATGAAGATACCAACCCCCAATTACTAAGATAACACAACAATAAAAGCCCGAAAAGTTGAATACATAAAACTGCCAGAATTGTTTTGGACAAACTTGTTTGCTGTCACAGTTTATTTGAAAAATCATAACAATTTGTAGAGTTATCCAAATCGACCAAATAATATACCAAATAAAACCTCACAACTCAATATACAAATCATCAGAAGACACATAACCTAAGTTATTACTCCAACATAACAAAAACAGCTCCGTATGATGATTAGGCAAAACTGCCCTGTTTTTTGACAGATTCACTGTCGTCTGATTCCGACCCCTAAAAGGCTATAAAACGTGCTTGAATTGGAAATAATTAATCACTTACTCACAGTTTTCGAGGTCCTCTACGATTTTCGAGAAGGAATGATTCCCAAATTCACACTCCAAACCCTTCGATTTTGGCTCCGAAAACAGATGCGTAGCAGATTTTATTTCCCTTTCCGGCGAGCAGGCTGAAATTCACACCAAATTTAGGCGACCACCGCCGAATAAAACTGCCTAGCACCACCATTAATGGGAAGCTAACTTCTCCAGGTTTGTAACAATACCTTCTATCATCAATACTCCACCGTTAACACCTCCGTTCATTTAATTCTTTGAAGAGCCAAAAGCTGAAGTCCAGATAACGGCCACCATCGGCGACCTCTGCTGGAAATCACCAACACCGGTGTACATCTGAACTCACAATTATTCCAAAGGTCGGTCCTGATCGACGAGATTCATTCTCGAAGGTCTCCAAACTATTATTTTTCCTTAAAACCCAAATGTGAAATTATCTTTTCAAATCCCCAATTATTTTCCTGTAATCAAATCTTCCGAATCTCCTTTATTGAATTCAAAAATTCTCGAACAGGGGTAGGAACTAGGGCTTGGAGAAATTGGGTGAAATAGGCGAATACTTTTGGGGAAAACAAAAGAGGTAAGATAAGAGGGATTTTGGTGCAAACATAATGAAGAAATTAAGAGATAATTTCTGTAATATTATGCGAGAATTGGTAGAGAGAAAGAGAACGTAAGGAGAGAGTGAACAGAGTAATGTTTTGTGATGAAGAAACGACATGTTTTGTGATGAAGAAACGACAGAATGATAAATGGCTGTAATTATTTTATTATTTGCATTTTCGCCCCCCATCTTCCTTTTATTTTCTTTTCTGTTCTTGATTTGTTTAAAAAATAAACTAGTGACCAAATCGATTTGATTTCCGTAAGTAGTTTCATAGTAACCAAATTCAAGTGGTTGCTAGCAAACCAATTAAATGGTTGTTAATAATTAAATTAAAGACTCGTAGCAACCGTAAAAAAAATTGATGTTAAATTGGTCACTATTGACACTAAGTTATAGTGACCATAAAAATTGTCGCTACAAACTTTAACTTTAGTTGCTACAAGATGTCTAACTATTAGTGACCACTTATAGCTACCAAATGTTCGCTGGTCGCAACAAGATTTAACCCTTCCCACTTTTGCTACAAAATTACTTTTGGTCACTAAATGTGAACATTTAGTGACCATTTAGTTATGGTCGTTGAGAATTTGGTCACTGAAACTAGTTTTTCTTGTAGTGCATATTATATGTCTTTTTAGAGAGTTTTTCTTGTCCCAAATTATTTGTCTTTTTAGATTTTCAATGCATCATTAATTGCACTATTTTCAATTTTACCCTTTATCACTCTTAATTAGTTAGTTGTAAAACAATTAATGTCAAGGATATATTAGTATTTTCCTATGTTTTTTACTATAATCTAAACAAATTTATTGATTTTCTTAATATGTGTTCAACAACCCAAAACGCCATTTAAATTGGGACGGAGGGAGTACTAATGATCACTTGCATTTATTCACATAGAATCTATTATAAATGAGTATATGCTATACTAGGTATTTGTTAAGCGTAGATGAGATTAAATACACCACACAATAAACACACATAACTATGCTTAGCACATAATTTTTCAATATAGAGGGACCGTATTAATTGTAGTTTTGGTTCCCCCACACTTCCCTCTTCCCATCCTTCAATAGCCGGTCACTTCACTCTTCTATATATATATATATATATATATATATATATATATGTATGATTAGAAGCTGAAACTGAGAGCAGTGCTAAAAAAAAGAAAAAAAAAGAGAATAATCAAGATTTTGGCAGATCAATGGAAGAAACTATAATTCTTTATGCTTCGGCAGTGCACCTAAATTCCATGTCACAGCTGGCCAAGTTCATCAGCAAACACAACCCCACCCTCTCCGTCATCTTACTCCTCAGCTGCGGCCCCGAACAAGCACCGCCGCCCATCTCCGCCGCCGCCACGGCAGTGACTTACCGCCGCCTCCCCAGCGCGGCTCTCCCTCCAAATTTCACCACCGATCCTGTGGAACTCGTGTTCGAGATCCCCCGTCTGAACAGACAAAACCTCCGCAAATTCCTGGAAGATATGATCTCTGCAAAAAACATAGTAATAAAAGCATTCATCATCGATTTCTTCTGCGACGCGGCGTTTGAAGTCACCACGAGCTTGAAGATACCTTCTTACTACTACGTGAGCAGCGGCGCTTTCTTCGCGAGCGCCCTGCTGTATCTCCCGACCATAGACGAAGCGTACGAGGATGACATTGGGGATTTGAACGACTTCATCCAGGTTCCGGGATGCCCGCCGCTCCACTCGTCGGATTTTCCCGACGGTATGTACTTTCGCAAGACGGTTACTTACGGAAACTTTATGTCCGCAGCGAAGAACATGCAGGTGTCAAATGGAGTCCTGGTCAACTCATTTGACGCGCTCGAGTTTAGAGCCAAGGAAGCGTTGTCCAACGGTTGGTGCATACCCGCGGGTGCTCCAACAATTACCCCGCCGCCTGTTTATCTACTCGGACCGTTGATCGACGGTGAATTAGTCACCAACGGCGGTGGAGTGGAGGAGAATGAGTGCTTGAGGTGGCTTCATTCACAGCCGGGTAAAAGCGTAATTTTCCTGTGTTTCGGTAGGTGGGGTTTCTTTTCCGGCCAACAGTTGAAAGAAATGGCAATTGGTTTGGAGGAGAGTGGACACAGGTTTCTGTGGTCGGTGGGGGGGAGTTCGCCGGGGTTGGAGGAGGTGCTGCCGGAGGGTTTCCTTGAAAGAACTAAAGAGAGGGGTCTCGTGGTGAAATCGTGGGCCCCGCAGAAGGAGGTGCTGAGTCACGACTCGGTGGCCGGGTTTGTGACTCACTGCGGGAGAAGCTCCGTTCTGGAAGCGATTTCGTTCGGGGTGCCCATGATCGCCTGGCCGTTGTATGCCGAGCAGCGGATGAATAGGGTTTTTATGGTGGAGGAGATGAAGGTGGCGCTGCCGCTGGAGATGGCGGCCGACGGGTTCGTCACCGCTGCTGAGTTGGAGAAGCGAGTTAGGGAGTTGATGGAGTCGAAGATGGGGAGAGCCGTGAGGCACCGAGTCGTCGAAATGCAAAAATCTGCACAACTCGCTGTGAGTGAGAGTGGATCGTCGCTCCTTGCGTTGGACAAGTTCATTCACCAGTCGGTGACTCGCGATTGAGGGGTATATTTGTCATTTCGACCACCTGCAATTCTTTCTTTTTATTTTCTTGTTTTGTTTAATTTTCTTCATTTTATTTTATTTTATTTTATGTGTAATAATGTGCTTTAATGTGTTCCCACACACATTTCTGTCATTCACAACTATCCTATATAATTATTGGCTTTATATGAATAATAAATCAACAATTAATCAATTATCAATTAAGATTGTTTTATAGATATGAATGTTAAGCATTGAATGTTGGTTATTCATTGTTGGGTGCACATGATTTAGGTGAAATTGGAGTAAAATTCTTTGAATTTAGACGCAGGCATTTTCGATATGTACATGTGGAAATATAACAAATTTAAATAATTTTTTTGACAAATTGCACACACAAAAAAAAAAAAAGGAAGTCCAGAAGTACACATCGAAAATTTGAGTTTTGTTTTTTCAAATATTGACACATACATGTCGATTTTTTTGAAAAATATTCGATGCGTTCTTGTCGAAGAAACACAAAATTGTCTGTATGTGTCGAAAAAGTGGGACGGTTTTGAAGAAAAACTTTAAACTGACTTTCAAGTTCTAAAAATACATGGATATATATATATATATATATATATATATATCTTAATTGGGTTTTCAATGGTTAAAAAAACAATCGGTTAATTAATTTTATTTGGTAACAGTTGACCGAATATAAAATTTAAGCAAATTCAGATTTGAGACACAACGATGACTTGTAAACTAAGTTATATTTCTAAATAATATATGCATTTAAATTCAATTTGTTTTGTTAAAATTTCTCTCAAGATTGTTTATTTCAGAAATAAGTTTCTACTATTAAAATTTCTATAATATTTCAAATGTTGTTCGAATTTTATGCAATAGATTTTCTTGTAAAAATAATTTGTGCTTAGAAAGAATAAATTTGATTCACATTCTTCCCTTTATGCATTTTTTTTGGAAAAAAAAATAAGACTTGGTTAGGTTCTTTTGGGGATTCTCAATCTACCGAGTTCGCCTGGAATCACGCGAACACATGAATTTTGGGTTTTATTTTTACTTTATTATTTTTTTTTGTTTGCAAAAATTCGATAAATCAACTTTAAAAAAAGAAAAAAAACTCACAAACTCAAGCACTCGCATGGATCTACACGAGCTCAGTGTACTGAGCTCATGTAGAACCACACGAGCTCTACATTTCGCCTATTTTTTACTTTTTTTTTTTCGTATTCGTAATTTACGTAACAAAACAATCAAAAAAACGTAAGAATTACCTTCAATCTGTTGTCATCTCGGTCGGGATTTGCGAGTGTACCTCCAAAACTTGAGAAAGTTTGGGTAAGTTGAGGTTTTTGATATTTGAAAAGTTGTTAAAAAAGTGCCTGCATATTGTAAAATGTGTCTGCATAAATCATTTCAAGTACTATTATTAGGTGTGTCCTACTTGTTAGTGTATGATTGAGTACTGACCTAGAAACCCACTTGCAAGTAATACTGATAATAGCAGACATAAAATATAAATGGAGTAATAGGTAGGGGTGGGTGTGGTAGGCCAACCGTAACAACCCCGTCGAATAACTACTACTGCCGAATTTTCGATATTATAAAATCCATTACCATAGTCCTGCCAAAAAGTTAGGTATACCGAAATTTGGTATACCAAAAGTTCGGTACGGTATGGTATGGTAATGATAATTACCAATATATGTTATCTACTATTTAAGTCTAAATTGAATATTATTTTTTCAAAGCAATTCAAGGTATACATGTTTAAAATGTACAAAACTAGTTTTTTAAAATATAAGTATTCTAAATATATGTTCTTAATTTACCCAATATAAAATATTTCTTAAATAAAATTATAACATAAATTCTTTTAACATCAATTATATCATTATTAATGAAAGCAACTTAAAATAGTTTTGACATATCTAAAGAGTATAATTAATTTTAACTAATAGTAGTTAACTAGGATACTATATTAACTTTTTAAATATGATAAATGAATTATTAAAATAAAATTTTATTTATTAATAATATTTCGGTACGGTAGGGCAATATACCATTTTAATAATATTGAGTGCCGTTGCCCTACCAAAACATTTCGGTAAGGTACGGTAATAATTCGATAGAAATATTTCGATAGAGAATCGGAAGGGCTCGATAGGGCAACGGGTTGGTAGGGCAATTTAGTAAAAAAAAAACCCACCCCGGTAATACTGGTAATACGGATACCACCAATTCAATTTTACTGGATTTTGATGTGATTGTGATGGGGATGAATATGATTCGACTGGTCATTGGGAATTGGGTCCATTTGGCATTTACAACATATTGTAGGTGGGATGTGTGGTTATCATATTACCAAAAGAATGTGTGCTTATGAGCTATGAAACACGAAAACCTCATGGCACACGTTTGTTTTTTTATTCAAAATCAATTTTCAGTTTTATATTCGAGGTTATTTTACATATTCCGTAGCCATTAAATAAATTAGGGATAAACTCAAGCTTAAATCATCATTTAACATACCTTTAGAGAAGTGAAAGTACTATACGACCCTTATATGCAATTTTCGGCCAAACTGCATTCATCATTTCTGGATGTATTTATCATTTTCGCTGATTTATTTATTATTATTATTATTATTTTTTTTAATAAACATGTTTGTTATATATATATATATATATATATATATATAATTTTTTTAATTTTTTTTAATATTTTAAACAAATAATTTTTTTTTTTAAATTTCAAATCAATATGTTTACTGTACTGAAAATAACTACATGTAACTGTAGTAACTATAATAATGCATAGTTATGTTCTTTTTTTTAGCCCATATTTTCAGTCGATCAATTATATACACACATGAATACCGGCTAACACAAAAGAAATTCATAAACTCCAACAACAAAAAATTACAAATATCAATATTTATGTTATAAATCACCTCAAAACCAATAAAATACAAATAAAAAATACACAAATATACGCATATGTAACTACATGTTACTATAGTAATGTATAGTAATGTACAGTAATGTATACAGTCTGTTGAACAAAGTAGAAGTGACTTCAAACAAAAAATTTGACGCCTTCAAGGAAAGGATCAATGGCCTTCATTAAGCTTGTTAAGTGAATATTTTTACACTTTATCGTATCTTTTTATTTGAGCTTTTGGTGTGTTTTAACGATAATTGGTGCTTAAAAAGTTGATTTATTGTATTTTAGGTACAAATTGAAGAATTGGAAAAGTATGGGGTCAAAACTGCAATTTTGGCGAAAATATGGGTCAAAAGTGAAAATATCAAAATTCTGAAGAAACAAGGCTCGGACCCCCGTCCCAGTTTTAGTGCAAATTATGGGACCCCCGTCCCATACCCCGAAGTTGCGCAGTAAAGGGATTTTAATTGCACAAGGAAACTGCCTTCTTCCCCAAGTTCTTCACCCTATATAAGACCAATCCAAGCACACAATTGGGCATCAATCTTTGGACGCAAATTCAAGAGCATAGAAGATCAACGAAGACTCAAGCATAGTTTTTCTTATTTATTTATTTTATTTTCTTTATCATAAGAATCACGAGTAGCTAAGTCTTTATTTCTAGGATTTTATTTGGAACCCTATGTGGGATTTATGAACCCAATTCTATGATTTTATGCAAGTTTTAATTCCGGATTATTTCTTCTACTTGTTTTATTAAGTTCATGAAACTGGCCACTTTATGCGCTTTTATGTTATTGTTAATCGCATGAATCGGAAGATCGGGTTAATAATTAGAATTGTGGTAGAAGAGCCTTTGTGGTATTAACATAGGAATATAGTTAATCTCTTAGGTAGCCATTATTGAGATTTGTGCTTAATGCTGTGTTCTAGAATTAATTGCATAGGAATATAGTAATTGAATCTAGAGTATTAGAATCGTAATACACGCGGAAGCGGGTTATGATTATTTTAGCATCTCAGGTTAATAATCCGGGTTAATTGCTTGCATAATTGAAGGAATTGGGGGAGTAATAATCACATAGGGGGAAGAATAAAATCCTAGGCTCGTTTACTCTGATAAATCTTCGTGTTTAATTTGCTTTCTTGCTTTGTCGTTTTAATTTGCTTTTTAATTTATTTTAGTAAATTCTCTCAAAACTCGACTGTGTAGGGTGGGCTTGATAATAATTGGTAGAATTTAGCGTCTAGGATTAGATAATTAAATATTCCCTGTGGGTTCGATATCCGGACTTTTAGTCCACTATATTACTTGTACGATACGTGCACTTGCGTGTAGGTTTTCGGGAGGCAACCCGAGTTTTATTGTTTTTCGTATTTTTTCTTTAATTTTTCGTTTCGTTTTTATTTATTTATTTATTTATTTTTTTTCTCATAAGCATGCATTCTAATTTATTATTTGAATTTTATTTTGCAGGGTCGAAGAAGTGATCGAGGGTCGAGTCGGCCGTCCGCGAAAAAAAAAAAAAAAAAAAAAAAAAAAAAAAATTGTGCAGCACTGTATTTGGGACGGCCGTCCCAAAATATACCTTAAAAACGGGACGGCCGTCCCACAACCAGAAGGAACAAGTACCCTTGGACGGCCGTCCGAGTTTTAGCCTTAAAACCGGGACGGCCGTCCCCAAACCAGTGAGGGCAGACAAATTCGCGGACGGCCGTCCGAGAATTAGGCAAAAACGTGGGACGGCCGTCCGAGCTCAATAGGGGGCGTTTCAATTTTCAAAAATTAGATTTTCTCCCCCATTATGTCTTAAACCCTCCTCTTTCGTTCCCTCTAACTCCCACACACGAATTTTCGAATTTTTGAATTTCTCGTCCAAAAATTCCTCAATTTCACACACATAATTCACTCACGCACTCTCCAATTCTTATTTTGTGTTGGTATTGATAGGGAGGCTCGAGAATCGAACCAAATTCTTCAAAATCTACTCTTTCAAGGCACGTCCACAAGGTGTTCGACAATTTGCCTCAACCAAATTTGGAGGTCGATTCTTGTCCAATTCTTACCGCATCAATTCCAAACGTTCTCCCAACTATGTCGTCCAACAAAAGAGCATGAGCGTGAGAGAGCGAGGGAGGAGCCCCCCCGATCACATCGACTCCGACTAACTCAGGTGTTTTCTATTCTTAAACTTTGTGCTAATTTCGTTGAGGGCAACGAAAATTTTAAGTTTGGGGGTGAAAAACATGTTTTTGTGCTTATTTG